AATATGATTGGTTGGATCTATAAGTAACAACCAATTATATTCATTTGCTTGGCGAGCAGGCTAGCCGCTTTGTCAACTTGAACGCGCCTAATATTTCAAAAAGAATCAAGTCTGATTTTGTAATGACCTTAACCGTTAACTTATGCCGGTGCCGATAAAGTTCAACCATAGGATTTCAATGCTTTCGTTCATACTAACTTGCCGTATCAGTATGAACGAAAACATTGAAATCCTATAGTTGAACTTTACCTGCACCGGCATAAGTTAACGGTTACGGCCATTATAAATCAGGCTTCACCGTGCTGTCAACCAAATAAGCATCTTGATTTTAACTCAAATCTTTACCATACTTATCGAAAGATTATTTAAATACACTTTTTTTTAAACACAAACGAAATCCTTAACTAAATAACAATAACCTTTCAAAACTGCTCCAATCATACGTCGCTGCAAAGAAAAGAATGCACGAAGAAAAGGATAAACGCACATGGATGTGATAAGGATGCATTCAATTCAGTTGCAGCAACCTCAGTTATTTCATCGCAATTGGCAAGCCTGGATGTCGAACCGCAATGTGAGAGAGAATTAAAGAGAGACACTTGCAAACTGCACACACTATGGGCGGTATTCATAATCGATTCTTATATTCAAGACCGTCTCAAGTACAGTCTTAAGATGTCATGAATCAGAGAGCCGTATTAGCACCTTAAGACATTACTTAAGATGATCTTGAAATAAGAATGGACTATGAATACCGGCCTATGTTATCCTTCTACCATGCCCTAATGCCCGTATCAAATTAAGGGTGAAATCACACGCTATTCGGAATAGTGCTGATTGGTTGCTTCAATGATACATTCTCTATTCCGCAGTCTTTTTCCGCATCGTGTGATTTCACCCTAAGGATTGACGATTACGATTAACGATTGCTCGGCTCTACTTCAATCAATCACGATGCAGCGAGGCTGGGTTTTGTTTTGAGTGAACAAACCTACAATTTGAAGGAAGTAATGACCCATTTCAACGCTCGGAACCGTGCTAAAATTGACCTTCAACTCGAATTTGGTCATTTTTTCACATTGGCTGCGTTTACACCGTGCGCTTAGTCCGCGACCTATACGATAGGTGTCTGTTTAATATACAGGATAAACAAAGACATCTATTGTATAGGCCGCGGCCTAAATGCACGGTGTAAACGTAGCCATTAATCGGGCAGTTTAGGCTTCTTAAGGCGTATATATCGTTAAATGAACTTGAAAATGTAAAATGATTGCATCGTGTTCAGCGACCAAAAAACGTATAGTACCACATTTAAAATCCGGATTAAGCTATTTTTGCATCAAATCAAACATGTGTTAAGGAAAATCAGAACTTTGATTTAAAAATCGTTCACTACCCTGGTGGAAAAATGTTGCTGAAATTATTCCACGTTTTGGAACACTTTTCAACAAAATTTCAGCATTTCAAAAAAATTTCAGTTTAATTTCAGCGATTTTTAGCTGAAAAATTCATTTTCGACAAAATTTCAGCAAAATTTTCAGACAAATTTCAACAAGAATTTCAAAGAAATTTCAGAAAATTTCAGAGAAATTTCGGTTGGATTTCAATGATTTTTCAATATGTCAACTGAAAATTTCACTTTTAGTGAAGTTTCAGCAAATTTTCAGCAATTTCGCTGAAATGTTCCAAAATATGGAATAATTTCAGCGAAATTTTTTTACCAGGGTAGCGACTTCTAAATATATTTTTTAATAAAATTTGGGGATGTTCTTTTGGCATGAAATGGAAGCTTTTTAGCTGAGAGGCCGATTAAACAAAAATATTTTTTTTTCTTGTCAAGGGAACATAAGACGGTGTCATTAGTTTGACCTTGAATAGTTGATTGAAGTTGACCTTGAAATCACCGAAGCACCTCCACCTGAACAAAAATTATTATCCCCATAAGATAGCTCCCTTTACATCGTGTAATTTTGGTTATATAAATTTTTCTCTACACCTTATAGATTAGAAGATATTTCAGGTGGTAATAGTTGAGACACCCTGTATATACGTCACATTGAATTATTTAAGCATTAAAGATCCAGCTTCGACCGTTTTAGGCATTTAGTTTCTAGTATTGATTGTGTTCTCACATATGCGGTCTAAAATAAGGTTCTTATTGTTTACATAGCATATTTTGTAGCTTGTCAATCTCTATGTCAATTTCTAGATCAGTTTCGGTCATTAGATGAGGAGAACTTGCTACTGTTGACAGGATCGCATCTACATACGCAGCAAGAGGGAAATAGGAACCAGTCCATGAATATACCCTTACAGTCGTTATCCGGGTCGTACGCGAGCAATCTGTGCCACTTGTACTTCTGTTCGCATCCGCAGTCCCTGCTGCATCGATTTGTTTGTGTTTTTCTGCAAAGAAAAAAAAATACAATTTACCCTGTGTTTTTATTACGTAAGAAACCGTATATAAATCGATACATCCGTATGATGAACATTTACGAAAAATCACATAAAACATTCGAAATGAGATGACTCAGAAAACAGTTGTTTTACTCACGAGCACACTTCCTGATGTATCGCTTGTTCGAAATGTTGAGTATTCACAATGGCGCGAATCTTTCCTGCACTGTTGCTTGCCCAATAAGGAGTCACGATTTCAACTTTCGATTCGCACGCGTCAATTCTGCAACCATTACAGCGACATTAATTATTATATTTCCAATTATTTCGTAGCAGCATAAAAGAAAAAAAAGGAAACTGTTCTTCAACAAACAGAAAACTTTCTTATAAATGGGACTTTACGAGTATTATAAAAAAGTGTAATATTATTGAATCAATATAGTGTCTATAATACTGGATTGGCCCAGAAAAACAAACATCATAAATTATAAACAACAAAAAGCATAAATTCCTTCGAAAAAGTGCATCTTAACGTACTCAGCCAACGCAAAGTATTCCTGAAATATTCATAAAAGTTTCCTAAAGTCCCAAAAGAAAAATGTTCCGAGAGTATTTCGGTATATCCCAAAATATTTATGGAACTTCTATTAAAGTAAAGCAACTTCAATTAAAGCAATTTATGTGTATACCCTGGTGAAAATTTTTCTCATAATTTTTATACGAATTGGAACATTTATCAAAAATACTCAGAAATATTCGGAAAATTTACATCTTTTCTCAGAATTTTTCATACAAGTGAATTCTGAAATATTCTGAAATTTCTCATCCCATAATTTAAAAAATATTTTTTAATTTTTTAGATTTTATAACATTTCATCCGAAATTATACTTACAAAAACTTTTAGAAATCTTATGATATTTCATAAGTAACATATATGAAAAATTCTGAGAAAAGATGTAGATTTTCTGAGAAGTGTGCCAATTCGTATAAAAAATGTGAGAAAGTTATAAAATTATATAGAAATTCTGAAAAATTACATGAAAAATTCTGAGAAAAATTTTCACCAGGGTATCGTTACATATTCTGAGAATGTTGCATATATATTCCGCACACAATTTTAATTTTTTTATAATAGAAATTCTAAGTTTCGTCGTTCCTGAATCACTTTTTAAACAAAATTGTACTATGAAGAACACATTTCATATGCTTTCACCTTGGAGCCCAGTTTTGTGACTCATTTCCCAAGTGAAATGCTGTACGGTCAGGGCCAAAAAGGTTGCAACACTTTTTTTCGATGGGTTTCGGAATGCAGCCTACTTACCGAGCGATTGGTTCTTATTTGTCGATTCATGAATAAAGAACCAATCGCTCGGTGAGCAAGCTGCATTCCGAAACCCATCGAAAAAAGTGTTGCAATCTTTTTGGCCCTGACAGTACTTCTTATATCTTTTAGTTGATTTTTATTTACGAATAAATCTTTTCCGCGTTCCTCTGTCGGCAGAAACATGTATTGTTCGTGATATATTCAAGGTGATTTTCGTGATATATTCAAGGAATATTCATATTCTGAATGTTTCATCGACGTTTGTACATTCTGTGACAATTCATTTACTGTTCAGGAATACTTGGTACATTGAGAATACGACCCAAATTTTCTATGAATATTTTAGGCCTCGTTTCCATTGAGTGCGTCGCATCGTCATGAGTTAATCAATCAAAACGTCCCATATGTGTGTATACACATAACTTCTCTCTTTCTCTCTTTCATGATGCGATGCGTGATACACTCAGTGGAAACAAGGCCTTAGCATTAGCTAGGTATATACGAGGAGCATCACAAAATTAAGTATCCTTAGACCGGAATCAGACTACGTATTAAAGATTGAAATTGAAGATTGAAAGATTGAAATTTGACCAATCAAAACAATAGGAGCTAAAATTCCTTTATCCTCAGTGGTCAAATTTTAATTATCGTAGGAAAGAAAACCGATTATGCGAGTAGCTGGTGAATTATAGAGACTTTTCGTTTGAGTATTTTGGCAACATTTTTTAACTTAGTATCATCTGCAACTATTAAATCTATTGGCGTTGCTTAAAATTCCCAAAAATTGTTGAACTTAAAGTGAGATGGATACACATTTAGGCATTAAAAAGGGAAAAAATGAAGATACTGATTGTACATAACATGAACAGATCTATTGTTAGCTGAACAAAGTTAAGGTAATACTTTCATAAAATGATTTTCTTACGAATGTGCTAAAATAAATTTTTAAATACAAATAAATTGAAATACTCTCTATGCTTGTGTGCAATTAGAAACATATAGACCATCTAGTTTTTGAGATTATTGCAATTAAAATGTGTACTTACTAATAGTAAGTTACTATTTGCTCCATTAGTAAACTATTTATGATTCTAATCTGTAATAATGAATGGTAAATTCCTATAGTTACTATTCGCCTCGATAGTAATGATAGTTATGTCCCATAATACTACATGACATTACACACATAGTTCTCTGAATAGTTCTGAATAGCTATATTTCACAATAATTGCCAATAGCTCCTTGAAATTATTGAGAACTATTGAGGAATATAACTATTCAGAACTATTCAAAGAGCTATGTTCGAATATCATGTAGTATTATGGGACATTACTATTCATTACTATTGGAACGAATAGTAACTATTGAAGCATTTACTATTCGTTACTATTAGAATTATAAATAGTTTACTATTAAAGCAAATAGTGACTGCAGGCATTGATCATTTATTATACTACAGTAATGAATGGTAAATGTCTGTAGTTACTATTCGTTTCAGTAGTAAACTATTTGTATTTCCAATAGTAATGGAACGGTAATGTCTCATAATACCACTGACAATATAAATAGTTTTCTGAATAGTTCTAAATAGTTATTTCTCAATAATTCTCAATAGTTCCTTTCCATATGGGATGTCAGATATTTGTTAGAAAAATGGATTTAAAGTCCTCTATAAGCGGCTCCGAAAATGCGTTTAAATGACATTCTTTCATAACTTCTTTTTACTTTTTGGATTTTTCTACATACGTGTGAATAATATACGTAAATGGAATAGAAAAGAAAACTTAGGTCTCGATTCCAAGGTGGATGCTTAACATTTTTTTTATCTATCCCTCTCGAAGTTCGAATTGCGTTTGAATATGGTATACTTATAAAGTTGTATATATGAATCTATGTACGTATAAAAGGACATATATTTTCTTACTTGTTATACATTTTTATTACATTCCTGTTATTTTAATTCGTAAAATAATTATTTGATCTATATAATATAATTACAAAATTTTATTCTTTAATTGTGTGTGTGTGTGTGTGTGTGTGTGTGTGTGTACATATGGTAATGTATAAGAAAATATATGTACTTTTATACGTACATATATTTATACAATTTTAGAAGTGTTACCATGTCCAAACACAATTTGAACTTCGGAAGAGATAAATAAAAAAATGTTCAACACCCACCATTGGAATTGAGACTCAAGTTTTCTTTTCTATTCCACTTACGTATATTATTCACACGTATATAGAAAAACCCAAAAAGTAAAAAAAGGTTACGAAAAAATGTCATTTAAACCTATTTTCGGAGTCGTTTATAGCGGACTTTGAATCCATTTTTCTAATAAATATCAAATTTTCCGAGCGAATGACACTCATTTTAGTTAATAGAAGGTAGGATACTATAACTTCTAACCGTTACTTTTTCAAAACTAATTAGACATCTGGGTAACTTCCCTCGTAAGGATTTTTTACTCACAAGTAACATTATCCAACTCTCATTTACCAATCTGGATGAAACTATGCATACTTGTTTAACATTGAAAAATATTGAACCCGTGTTTTTCTATTTTTCCCCAAAATGAATTTTAAGGGTTGAAACTACTCCTCAATCACCTCCAAGAATGGATTTTAGATGAATATTTTTAATGTTTATTAGTTCAAAATTCACTGTCACAAGGTTTATACATTTATTGGAACCGTGCCTCATTAAATTCTGATTTTCGTTTCATTTTTGTTGTTTTTTGAAGTTAACATTGAAAAAATCAACTTGATGTCCAAACGACCGTGACATTTGACCTCCAAGATCAAGATAAGGACATCATTACATAGTTCTTCATCAACTCTACAACTTTCGTTGGAAACATATTTCCAACCTATATGCTCAGAACCATTCTCGTAGCGAGATAATACATTTTTGGGAGTGGTTGAGGGGTAGTTTCAACCCTTAAAATTTATTTTGGGAAAAATAGAAAAACGGGTTCGTATTAATATTTTTCAACGTTAAACAAGTGCGCATAGTTTCATCCAGATTGGTGAATGACTGTTGGGTAGTGTTATTTGTCAGTATGGTACGTACTATCTACCATATAAATGCTAAATAGCTTTTTATGAACACCCTATATATGTTCATCCATCACATTCTCCAAATCTTGCACCGAGTGATTTTAACTTTTTTCCTGCCCTTAAAAAATGTTTGGGTGGCGAAAGTTTCGACAGCGACGATAAAATCAGGGCTGAAGTGAAGGCCATAGTTTCGATCCAAAAAGACACTTCTTTTTTATTTCTGGTATTGAAAAACTGATGTCACATTATAGCAAATGCTTAAAAATTAATGGTGATTATATTGAAAAGAAACTTAAGGTTTAAGTTAATAGAATAAAAAAGTTTTATAATTGTCCTATCTTTCATTTTATTTCCTTATGATAGGAAATCTTATTTTTGGAATGCTCCTCGTAAAAATAAATGTAAAATGATAATAATAAAGGATTTATCCGGCTCTCACCTGCTACTCTCTTTGCTGCGATTTTTCCCGAAAGACTGTCTGGCATTTCTACTCTTACTAAAATATTCTTCGCCAATCTTGCTTTCTATATGCAAGTCATCATCTTTGGACCCGCCGTTCAGGATATCGTGTTTTCGCGCTTCTCTACTTTTTCTTCGCGTTTTAGTACGATGCCCGCGTTCATTCGATCTGTACTCTGGATTCATCTCAAAATCACCGTACATTCTTTTCATTAATGCTTTATTTTCGTCAATAAAACGTTCTATGTGTTCTCTGCAAGAATCGATTTAATTAAATTACAATTCATGTTAGTTAATTGCACATTGCCCTTAAGTTTTCTTACTTTCTCCACCAATAAGTTTTGTTTAACTGTAGTTAGATATAATATTATCTCTAGGAGCATATTAAAAAGTAACAAATAGAATTATTCATACGCACATTGGATATGTGTTTCCAGCGGTCGGACAGAACAATTGATGATATCTCTTGATACATGGTGCGCCTCGTACCAAGTCTCCTTTCAGTTCAGCACCCAGAACTATTGAAAGCGCAGTCCATAATATCTATGAATCAATATATTTATTAATTACAAATGTGATATCGCAAGATATTGGATAGCACAAAGAAAAAATGTGCGACTGTCACTGTATTTGGTATATAATTCCTATCATAATCGCGATTATTTAAATTTCGCAACAAAATTAAAAATTGTTCTTTTAACAAAATAAGGAAAAATGTTACTGAATAAATTTATTTCTAAAATAATCTTCTCCTCTTCTTCTTTTTATGTTAGGCCTCTGGCCAATATTATACCTCCCTGATATGCTTATGGTGCGCACGCTGATTATTCAATTGCCACAAGTATATGGAATCTACACTTTTAATGCCAATTCCGAACGGCGGATTTTTCGAAAGGTGCTTCTGTGAACAAGGATACTTTCTGGAGTTTGCCGATCTTTTCCGAGAGGAGACACGGGCGTAAATATCTTCCTATCAGGATCGAACTCAAGACCACTGGCACGATAGACTAGTGCGCTTTCTACCATGCCATGCTCGCGTTCAATTTAAAAGAATCTGTTATTGGGATGCTGGAGCGACGGCCGAACTTGATCGAGATCGATAAAATAGATTTTGTATCGTCCGCGCTTACGCCCTTTTCAGACTTAGGCTCTCATGCGTTGTGAGCAGCTGTGAGCACTCACGTTTCCAACTGTTTCCAGCCGCACGCCGTTTCCACTCGCTCGGTTTGATCGTGAATGCTTACATTTTGTGTGTGAGCATTTAGACAGAACGCAGTCTAAAATATGATTGCGTTCTAAATCATACTGTCAGTACTAAAAATCTATCTAGTGACTGAACAGAAATTAACGTGTCAATTTTACATCTTAATTATAATACTACACAGTCAGTAGACAGATTTTTTATAATAAGAATGTGTAGCTATATAGTAGCTATTCAGTGACTGGATAGAAAACTTATATAGCGGCAGACTGGCCGGCGGCCGAGAACGCTCGGCATGGCGGAGCACTCCCACGGAAATTCCCGTCAGTGCAATCGCGTTGATGCAGGCTGGTTGTCGGCCGAGAATGCTCGACGAGGCAGAGTACGCTCTGCCTCAGAACTCTCGACGATGCAGTGAGCTAGGATAGGCCGGTCGGTCGCTATCGAGAACATTCGATAATAGAAGAACACTGTCTATTACTTTTTTGCGCTACTAGAACGGCCAGGAGTCGGAGCTAGATGAGAGAGAGAAATCGGAGTAGCAATCGGAAAAACAAGAAAGCCGCGCGATAAAAATCGCGGCTTTTATACCGGATTATTACTCCCGCTCGTATTGTTCCGGAATCGTTCGGTGATTCCCGCCAGTTAGCAATACGAGCGGGAGACGCGTGTTTCGGCAATTCTCGTACAGGTTCGAAGTTCCTCGGCGGAACGGCTGTCTCCTGCGAATTATTCCTCGATTGTTTCGCGCGGGCCGGTGGCGATACTGACGGGTCTCGTAACGGTACATTGGGGGTGCATCGTTACATCCTTATATGCGTAAAAGTTGTAATTGAATATTCCTCTTACACTTGAGGATAAAATGACAGTAAATAGGATGTTTCGACAAACGTCGCCAGCCACTATTTTCAATACTCTCAATACGTTAAAATTAATCGATTCGAGGGAGGTGAATCATCAGTACGTGGTTCCCAGGTGGATCGCGCGTGAAAACTCGAGTAGCTTCGAAGAGCCGATTTAATGGCTGCCGTATGAAACAATAAAATTCCGAGCCACGTGCCATCCACCCGATAGCCTTTATCGTTTGAGAGAAATACTAACTGCCGATCCGCGCTCGTCTCCTTGCCACAGAAATAAATACAAAATACAAAATACAATTTTTCCTGCTTGAAACCGTCATTAAAACGATTTTTAGAATAAAAATTTTGGATGCTTTATATAATTCGAAATATTTTAAGTTAATGAAATGCTGTTTGAACGAATAAAAGTATGTCCAACTTACTTCCTAAATTACTCTTTCACATTTCCTCAATTTATGTTTTATCATATCTTTATGTGTTTTTACAGTTTAAATTCTTGATTATGGACTATAAATAAGTAAAATATGCAAGTTTATATTGCATTACATTATTTAATTGTTTGTGACATCTTCTCTCATAGGAAGTGGCTTCTTATCCATATATGTATATAGGGGGAAGATGTCACTTTTGCAAGATATGATATATCAATTTTTTTCAGTAATACGAAATATTAAACATTAAATTTGTAAAGGACCTAGCGGAATAAGTACAGTAAAAATGCCCCCACGGCTTTTAAAGTTAACCTTTTTTTCTAAGGTTACTCATATAAAAAGACACTTATATCAAATTTTACTATCAAATTTTAGATTTCTATATGGAGACCTGATCAAGTTAGAGAGTGAAAAAACGATTTTTTACAAATTTACGAATTTAATTTAGTAAAAATTCAAATAAAATTCTGAAAAATTGATTACTCCAAAACACTGAATGAGGATTTTTAAAAAATCTTTTTCAATGCGAATTTCAATTCTGAAAAAAATAAAAATAACTTTTAAACATTTTTTTCACCTCAATTCCATTGATCGACCACCTTAAAAAAATTTCATATCAATTTCTGTTCAACAAAAAAATATATCTTTTTTAGATTTTTTCAAAAGGTGGGCCACATTGAGAAAAATTAAATTATATTTTTTTGTTAATTTGATGAAATAATGAGCAACACAAACCGTTTTTATCAGCTCTCTAATATTTTATTTATCTATAAAATTCTCTCTCTCCATATTAAAATATTTTGATGAACACAAATTGAAAATGACATTCTCATTTTTCAATCATTGGTTTGAAAGGCAGTTATTTATTTAATTAATTACGAATTATATACATTTATACGTTAGACTATCGTTTTTAAAAAATAAAGGGGGGGGTATTATAACTAGATCAACTTGCTTCACATCGTCGATGGAGGGTTCTGTGATATCCGAAACGTTCGGTTTTACATTTAATGTTAAAGTGAATTTATTTTGAACAAATTAAAATTTTTGCTTATTCACAATTATTGGCCTTTTATTAATTATTGTAATTACATTTATATTCTGACACACAGTTATCATATATTATACTAATATATCATACAGGGTGGCCCACGTAAAGTGTTACAAGCTAATAACTCTAAAAATATTTGTCCTATCAAAAAGTTGTTCATAAGAAAGTTTCATATATTCGAGGGGCCTTTCTAACTGTGTAAACAAAAGTCCACCCCTGCCCCCCTTCAAGAAGGACGGAGGGTAATTTCAAAGTTTCAAATAGGACCTCCTCTAAAATGTTACATATTTGGATTCTACGGGGAAAAACAAGTAAACTTTGTTTGAAACATTTTTTTCGAAAATGCTCCTATCAAAAGTTATGAACATGTAAACTTTTAGCCATTTTATTCATGATTGAACTCCATTGACACAAAGTTGTGTTCATGATACAATGAAAACGAAAATGAACTTGATGTTAACCAAAAGAAACATAAATACACACATTTCGGGAAACATAAATACAGATCTATGTATTTAGTTAGTTATGAGCTGGTTTTCATGCTATCAAGTTCGAAAGTCATAGCTTATTTTGATGTGGAAGTTAATATTTTCTTAATTCTGGGAGAATGTGAGAAAAATTATCGACGTGCAGCGCAATTATTTTTAGAACGTTATAATATTCAAAAATCGCATATGGCATTTCTTTGTTTAGAAAATCGTTTGCGTGTACATGATCAATTAAGTGCAATTAAAAGACAAAAAGCAAATCCAGTAGTTAATAATGATAATTGTGCTAATATTCTCGCTGCAGTTGAAGTAAATCCACATGTCAGTCAATGCGAATTAGCAAACACATCTGGAGTTAGACCTACCTGCAGTACTGTTTGGAAACGTCCTAACATGATGTCAAAATGACGTTCCCGCAATGACGTCATAGTCTGAGACATTTGACCGATCATTAAGACGTCATTTAGTGACGGCATCCATGGTCAGTAAATGACCAAAATTTGACGTCAAAATGACGTGTGTTTGCTATCTATTCACTCCAACGAATGCGTTAAAGTGAGTAGGAGCTAAGGTAGGAGCATGCGACGCGAACAAATGTTGTTAGTACTAGGTAGTATATAATAAAAAGAGACCGAACCTCTAAATAATGTGCGTGCGACGAAGACAACAACTAAGGTTGGCTAAACTGGGACTACGAACGACCACCGAGCAAGCGAGAGAACAGAGAATTAGAGAGAGAGTTCACGCTTGTGAACCGAGCACACCATGTAATCTTCCCATCATGATCGCATCTGATTTCTCGATATTACTCACCGGTATCTGCACAAATGTCCCGTTGTTTAGTTGGGGATACGAGTACAGTGGTACCACAGGTACAGTGTTGTTCTTCAAAAAGATTGGACCCTGGATAGGTGTGACATGCGTGTTCATCGGTATGTCGTGATCTTCGTCATCGTAGTAATCATCGAAATCATCGTCGTAATCCAACACGGCGTGGATCGAAGTCTTAGTATCCGGACCGATGGAGCTCCCGCCACTGACACTCGTGTAACTTTAAACAAATTAAACAGGGTATTAACAGTGATGTGTCGTACAAGCACTTACAAAGAATTACCGCGCATATGTACGCACACTGAGAAAATAGTTTACTTGAAAGAAGGAAATATTACGTGTTTCAAGAAAATAATTTCTTTGAGGGATCCTTGAAACATATTTACTACGGAGAAATTGAGGGCATCTACCACGAACGCTCGTTGTTTTTCAGCGAAACTTGTCTTAAAATAAATATATTAAGAATTACAATAAATAAAAATATAAACGTTTCGGCCTCAGATTAGGCCATCCTCAGTATATAAAGTCAAAAATATAAAATTCACATATATATAAATCTAAGTTATTTCTTTTAAAATGGCTACAAATTTACATACGCACGCTCGTTAAATTTATTTTATAAGCTTTCTTTAGTTTTTCGCATATTTAGAATGTATCCAGCGAATTTCATCTTGTATTCCAATCGATTTCAATAGAAAAAAATATTTTACAATTCCATTTATTAATACAATTTCTGATAAATTCAATACTATAGCTTCAACTAATAATTTTTGCAAGCGTGCGAAGAAATTACAGACGCACAATGTCAGTCAGCCACTCGTTCTCTCATGGATAGATGTTAATGCTTGTGTCCGGGCTGGAGATCATCATTTTGAACAAAACATTTAAGGGGGGAAACTCATAGAGAAGGTTGAAAAAATCGAAATTTTTTCATAAATCAATAGTATGTAACATATAGAACAAACTATCAAGGTCGTAGAACTGAATTCGAAAATTTAAGGCAGAAATACGGCTCTCGATTAGTGATCACCGCGGCGCGCTGTGCCGAGCGATACTCGAAGATATATTGTAAATACGTATCGCCCTTTCTGTCAGTTTTTTTGTAGTTGCTCGAAAAGAGCAACAGGCGGCTTTATTATTCCATTTTGAGGAAGAACAAGGATTGATTTACGGACCTGGCGTTGCAGATTAGCATAAAACAGCTGTAAGTTTCCGAAAAATGTTTTTTTTCTGTATCGAAAATTACGCGTTTTTCTCGAAACGAAAATTTTCGAGCCGTGTGGAATGTAGCTCAAACAATTTTTAAACAACGAACTTCTCCTTGCGTACACATATTCTATAACATCTTCACAGCATGAACCTATTTTTACATAAATGTTTTTGAAATAAGCAATTGTTTTTTTTAGTATTATTTGTCTAAAAAATTTTTTTTTAGAATGTCACTATTTTTTCATTTTTGCCTTTTTTAACTTAAAATTAGGTTCATGTTGAGCGTATATTCATTAACTAACGTTTCTATTTTGAATTTTTCATTTCAGATAAAAACAGCAGTCCCTACACTCCACAGTGCGAAGCACTTTTTTTTTTAATGGTTGGACATATATATATCCTTATAACATTAATATTTAAATATATATTATAAAAACAAATTTTTTTTTCAAATTTACAATTAAATAATAAAGTACACTAAAAGTTTCAAAAAGATTAATTCAACACATTCTTCACAATAAATTTCCGAATATTGATGAATTTTTAGCTATTTACTTGAGTTTTCCCTTAATAATAAAATTTTGATTATTGTAAAGCAATAAAGAGGATAGACCTTATTTCGACATTATTCATTCCTACAGTTCTGTAACTTTAGAAGTAAATATCTCTTGAACGAAGAGTTTGTGAATATACGTCCAGAGGAAAATTTTTATTTGTTTTGAGATCCTGAATTCATATTTTAAGTTTGACGGTTTAACCCCCGGGAACACCCTGTATATATACAGGATGTCTGGTAAGTTTTGACAAAGCGTTTAGGTGTAGATAGAGCGGATTAAACTGAGACGAAAAGTCCTCTACCATTTTGCAATTTTCGCAATAGTTAACAAGGTATTAATTACTAATTATTGCCGAATATTAATCTTCAATAATGTTTTACTTAAATTCTATTAACTTTACAGAAAAACTGCAAGAGCCAAAAATTGTTTGCTTCCTTCTCTAAGAACTCTATAGAACTCTAAGAACTTTTTCAGAATTTTTTATCAACTTTTTAGTATTTTCTTACTTTCCGAACATGAAAAAATACAGTATTAAAAAATTCTAAAGAAATTCTTAAAAAATTCTTAGAGCTTAATGAGAAGAAAATAAACAATCTTTGCCTCTCGCTGTTTTTCTGTAAAGTTGATAGTATTTGAGTAAAAAATTATTGAAGACTAATATTCAGCGATATTTAGTAATCAATGTCCCGATAATTATTGTGAAAATTACAAAATGGTATAGGACTTTTCGACTCACTTTAGTCTGCTCCATCTACATACAAATGCTTTGTCAAAACTTACCAGACACTCTGTACACACGCACACGAACAGGATGTTTCAAAAGTAACGATAAATCTTTCGCATAGGGGCAGAATGGACTAAACTGAGAAGAAAAGAGTAGTAATACAGGAGCGGTTCTAACTCAGGCAAGGGAAATGGAGGAAGCGCGGGGGGAAGGGAAGAGATAGTGCGGGGAAGGCCCAGGGTCGATGGTATCGGTGTTTACGTAAATATTTACATAAACAACGATATCATTGATACGTGCCGTCTTGTTGTGACGTCACGTATCATGTTCCCTTGGGGAAGAGAAGGAGGGGGAGACGGCCTTTAGCAGATTGCCATGTGGTGATGTTTCGCTGTGCGTTCTTTTGGGGTGAAGAGGGGGATCCTGGGCCCCGCCGCCGCCGCCACCGCCGCGGCCAACCACTGAACCACCGCCCTCGCACCCTCGCCAAAATACGCCACGGTATTATTTAATGTTACTATTAAATTGTAAAAAGATTTTTACTTACTTCCTCCTCCTCCTCCTCCTCCTCTCCTCCACTGAACAAAGAAGAAGGGTCAATAAGATGGGTTTTTGGGCCTATCAGTCTCAAAGCGTGTCGTTTTATTCTTCTATCCAAGGCTCATAACGCCCTGAAATGGTTTTTTTTTCACAAATAATTTGATCCGGAGGAAGAACCATTTTTAAGTTTCCATTTTATATGGGTTTTTGTACTTTAGAGCAAATCACGATGCGTTTCATATTCTAAATATTGCTCGCGCAAGATCAAACTTCTCTAAAAACTGCACATATATATGCACTATAACATATGTCAGAGCCATCATTTTCCGTGAAGTACTTGATCTTCAAAGAAAGACTTATCTTTTACAATTTCTTTTACGTTAACTTTAAAATATTTACTTTATAAGCTTCGTCAGGAATAATTCCTACAAAATGGAATAAACGAACTTGAAAATGCGTAAAATACAGGAAAAAATATTGACCAACGAGGAATAGGTATAATAGGCCTTCAATATAATTCTTACGCACACACAATTTCAAGGTATTTTGAGATTTTTCGGGGACAATCTCTTTTACAATAAAAACTGTAGAAAAAATAAATCAAACGAACTTAACGAAAAATATGTTTTCGAGCAGAATTCTTGAATGAAGTAAATAAATAATGATCAGGGTTGGGTAAGTTAACTTTTTTTTCTTAACTAACAAGTAACACTACCCAAGTGTTAATCACCGACCGTCTTGAAATTTGGTCTACATATTCTTTAATGGAAAATATTTGATACGTATTTTTTTATATCGGCTAAAAAACATTTTAAGGGGGCTAAAAAAATGTTTTAACATTGTAAAAACTACTATCGCAACGTGTATATTGTGTATGTAACATGTGGTGTAGTTAAACCGTACTTTGCATAAAAATTTTTTAATATATAAAACAAGAAACAAAAAACAAAAAAACACAAAAAATAACAAAACTAAAAAAAATAAATAAAATTAAAAAAAAAATGGGGTCTATAATAGCACTGCAACCTCCTCGCGGTAGACCCTGGAAACTACTATCACAGTAGGCTAACTGCAGGCAAAACAAAGAAGTGTATTTTAAAATAATTATTTATTCTAATTTTGAAAATCTGACTCCAAGTTCGTATTAAGCGACCCCAAAAACACCAGTATTCACATTCTTATGGAAATTAAACAATTTCTTGAAAATTCGTCAGCCATATTGGATACGACATTTTGAATTTTAAAATTCTGACTTCAGATTCGTAATCCCCGATACCAAAAACCCCCAGGTAATACATTTCAGCCAATTTTAAATGTATTTTTCAAACATCCAAGCAAGAAGCCCACGGTGACACAATATACACGTTGCGATAGTAGTTTTTACAATGTTAAAACATTTTTTTAGCCCCCTTAAAATGTTTTTTAGCCGATATAAAAAAATACGTATCAAATATTTTCCATTAAAGAATATGTAGACCAAATTTCAAGACGATCGGTGATTAACACTTGGGTAGTGTTACTTGTAAGTTAAATTAAAGTTAACAGCCTTGAAAATTTAACTTAATTAAAATAAAGTTAATTCATAATGAAATTAATTGAATTAAAAGTTAAGTTAATAAAAAAAGTAATTGAAAAGTTAAAAGTTAAATTGAACGAACAACCAAAAAAAAAGAAAAAAGAAAAAGTTTGACCATTTTACATAATTTTTTTCGTATTTTTCCTTTCTCACAGCATATTTATTAAAGAATCTGGTTATTTTTGTTCACGAGTAACGATTATACAATACAAAATTACTAAATTATATACTCATTATCCTCTCGCATTGTGTTTAAGGATTGACTTCAAAAAAATCAAATTAAAAATTAATAGTTACCGATAAAATGTAATTAAATTAAATTAAAAAGTTAAGAGTCTAAAATGTAACTAAGTTAAAATTAATTAACTTTTTAATTTAACTTTTATCTTTTTAATTTAGCACTACCCAACCCTGATATGTATATATTGCTAATTATTCAACGAAATACGACGCAATATATTTATTTATATTCAAAAGAGTTAAAATGGAGAAAATGTTTGTAGGTTGCGTACTTCAGAATATCCCGGATACCAATCACGAAAAAATCACGAAAAATATGGAGCGAATCCGATATACAAAGGCAAGACATCATAACGAGGAGAAGCGAAAGACTCAAGCAGGACAATGAAGATAACCAATGACCATGATGACAACGGACATAACCAACAAGGTAACAACGGAGATAACCAACAAGGTAACAACGGAGGTAACCAACAAGGTGACAACACTTCTGAAGAATAAGGAAAGTTAAGGAAAGGTATTTTAACAACGTCAAAAGGTATGGAATTTTGTTATTACGTATGGTAAGATATTATTTATACGTACCCATTCAAATGCGTACATTTATCCATTTATGTACAATTACTTCCTATAGATTTTACTGTCCCATACAGAAGAAAGACATCGAATATATTTAATGGATATCCAATAGACGTCGTAACGTACGTATTCTCGCATAAACATATATCGTTTGGAAATGAGTTTCGTTAAGAGCTCAATTTAAGTGATTTAAATTTTTTATTTACATGACATTTTATTTTTGTTCATTTTTTACAAAATAAAATAGGTTTTGATATGTAATTTATTCAATGGGTGCGTTCAGCAGAACGTTTGTTTTGCAACTGTTGTAAGTTTCCTTCGCGCTAATTGGATCATACTTTTAGATCTAGAAGAATGGTCCTATCTCAGCAGACAATCATAAAACGGTTGCAAAACTGTTGAGTCTGCTGAACGCAGCCAATGTCGTTTCAACGTTGCAGCAACATTAACAATCAATGTGGAAAAATCAATATAGATACAACATTGATAAAACATTTCATAACACACTTCGAACACACTTCAACATTCAACATTGGAACATCTCAGCAACATTCTTTCAATGTTCTGTACTGTATGGGTTATGTGTGTGCAATGTTGTATTCATTTATTGATAATATATTGGTCATGTTCAGCAGATTCAACTGTTGCGGAGAGGATCGATGAGCGCTCGTTGCTATTAGATGATCTAAAAGAATGCACCGATACGAGCGAGTGCTCACTGATCCGCTCCGCAACAGTTGAGTCTGCTGAACGCGACTATTATGTCCTAACCTAAAATGGCATTGGATGTAAAAAAAATGTGCTACTACAGCTTTGTACCGATATAACTGTTAGTTAAAAATCTGTATTTTATATATGCTATAGAATTTTAGTATTGATGATATATATTGGAACGCAGCCTACATTGCATGTGTACATAATATAACTATATTTCTGAAGCCCGATTCCACAAATGTAAGATTAACTTATTGGAAAATCTAAAATTAAAGTAAATGTTATATTTGTGGAACCGAGCCTAATACATGTTTTCATCTCTGAGCTAAGATGGTAATATAGGAAACGGAATAAAAATATCGATAATTATCGATCCAATTTCCTGCATGATCATGTTAACTCTAAAGGACGTAAGCATGTTATACATTGGAAATGAAAATCTATAATATCGACCTCGATCAAGTTCGGTCGTCACTCCAGCATCCCTTTAACATCGTAGGGTTTCTCCCCTTGATCGGAGTATTAGAGTAGAATATTATATTATTAATCGGAGTATTAGAGTAGAATAGAAACAAATAATTGTCCCAGTTTTCAAAACTTATTTGTGTCTAAAAAAATGATAAGAGCATCTTAAAGTGAAAATTTTAAACTTTTTTTTCTTTTTTAACGTATACTATACGTTATTCCGTTCGTTTTTTTATGAGTCAAAGTCAAAAGAACCATTTTCACTTCAATGTTGAATAACTCGGTGAAAAAAAATCGTACAACATTCATCAAAAAAGTAAATTAAAGGAAAGGTTCACGTTTTCGAAAACTTTAAACTGTATTTGTGACCGACTTCTCATTTATGGCATGAAACTTCGCAAATTTCACAAAAAATTTTAAAATTTTACGGATCATTGTTTGTTATCGTGTAGCTCCGTAAAAATCAGCCAAATCGTTATTTGAAGTAAAGATCTGAAAGGTAGAGATTTCAAGCTACAAAATACTTTTTCGTACGTCTCATTCTGACCATTTATGTAGAAGTTACACTCATTTAAAGTTTACTCATTTTTCGAAGGCGTGAAAGGTGGTGCTTGGATTTCCGCGGTTAGTGTATTATAACATGTGAAGATGCTCATTGCTGCCAGAGGCAGCATATCTTCTTCTTTATATATATCTTCTTCTTTATTAATTTTTTCTTCCTATTCTTTTTATTTTCTTCTTTTTATTTTTTCTATTTTATGATGTTCCAATTATATTTTCTGATAATCAGTTTACCTTTATCTTTTTTTGACAACAGATACGGTCACATTACACAAAGTTCCATTCCATTGTCATATTCAATGGCAGGATGACCATGACTAGCGCATTATATGCTCTTTCATCGAATTCCTAAATTATAAAGAACATTTTCACAATCTGACACAAGAGTCTGCAGTTTTCGATGATTGGTCTCGCGTAAAGGAACCACGGTAGTGTCGTTGCGATTGGCTTAGCGCTGAGACACTATCGTATTTCTTGATAGGCCATTAATCTTCAGATGCAATAAGCAAGTAATTCGGATCAATAAAGTTTTCATGCTGATTTTAATACTTATTTATTAACATTGAAAATGACCTCACGTTTAGGACGAAATGTTTATATATGTGATGTTTAGATATGTGAAATGTGTATTATATATATGTGATTGTTTTTAATACATTGTTATGTGGTGCGAGGTTTGCTATTTTATGTTAATCTTTTCATTAACGTTTCCAAGCGCTCCACGGAACACTTTTTGTGTATATCACGAAAATTACTCTGCGAACAGTACGCATCCCCGTTGATAAATGGTCGTGGCGGAGATGCATTAATTCGTAGATAAGAATCACATAGGAAAAAATATGAACAGCGCATTTCGCTTCTGAAGTAAGTCCCCAAAATTTGGCTTTAATTGAAAATAGAAAAAATGTGTTTCTAACACAATATAATTTCATTACAAAATTTATTCAAGGACCTCTGGATCAAAAATTGCTGAAAAAATTATAATTTTGCGAAATATATATGAAACGTCCTTCGAATATGTTACAATGTATAAATGGAATATTTAACGATTATTTCAATATTACTCTTTCTGAACATATTTCGGGATATTCCGAAATATTTTAGGAATATTATTTTGGGATTTTAGAAACATTTTAAGAATATTCTTAGAATATTTAGCATTAGCTGGACATCGATCTAAATTAAAGATACCGTAAACGATATTTTATTATTGATTAAAATTGTATTATGAGAGATAAGCGTAAGAAATATAAATAAAAAGAAAAAGAAAAGAAATTTACATTTACCCAATAGGTTTTTCTGGATGATTTTGTTGCTCTTCTATCCGAGGTTTGATGCGTTCAGGCGATTGCTGATACTGAAATGATGAGGGAAGCGATGGCGGTCTCATGTGTTGTTGTTGCTGCCTTGGTTGCGTCCTTCTAAAGTCCTGGTTGTATACATTGTAATGGGTGCCTTGTGTCGAAAAGGTCGTGTGTTCCGTATAAATCTCATGATTCTTCTGCTGAGTAAATTGACTACGTTGATGTTGATGGAATCTAATTGGTGGAGTATAGGGCTCATTATGAAAGTTTTCTCGTTCAGCGTAACTGATCGTAGATCCCGATGGTAACGCGGTGTTCAAACGAAGACTGTTGGCGGTCGTGTAGCCCTCGGTTGAGCCCGCGTAAAGAAACGGTGCCATTGTAACCGATTGATAAGGCAAACTGAAATTCACCAACGCCATTTCTCTTGCATTCGGAAGGATTCTCCTAAGCACACATTCAAATTCAAATTTGTCTTTCACTTGCGAACGGTAAATCTCTTTCCGACATATCTCTTTTCAGTCTTTAATGCTGATGTTGCTACATAAAAGATCGAAGAAAAGATCTGGATATCGATTAATCAAGACCACGTTTCTCATGAACACACAATTGAAGTTGAACTGAAAATTGAAAAAATTGTAATATTGTACCAAATCAGTAAAAGGAAGAGTCACGCGCATAAAGTATTATTTTCATCGTAAAATTATATCATTACTAAGTTTATTATCGAGTCGATTTAGTAAAATCTCAATCCTAATTGTAGATATCACCGTTAAAGAAAATGAATAAAGTAGTATATTGGAATTATTTCGCAACTGATTTTCTACATCGTTTCGAGAAACAATCCGTGATAATTAATCGTTAACTTGGATCACGATCACGTTCTCAAGTATACTATTTGTCCGTACGAAGGGAGAATAACGAACTATATCATTCGTTGAGTCATGCGTAGAAAGTGCTTTCCGCCTTGGATCAAGTGGTAAGATACACAAACATTGTGACATAAAAGGCGATCGCGTAAATCGCAATTTAGCGAAGTGGAAATCGCAATGCATGCAAAATAAGCGAGCTAAAAAGAATGCTATTTTTCGCAATAAGTTTCTTTTTTTCTTTCTTTCTAATTTAATTTAGGGGGGATTATTAGCGTTTTCAGAATGATTGTGTTGAAAGCCCGAAAGTCATCGGCGCGCAACAATATCTGGAATAAATTGATTTAATAAAGAATATATAATGTGTTATTTGAAACATCTAACTTTGACCGATCATGGCCTTCTTTATCCTATTTGATAAGAAAAAAATGCTTCTAATCTATCGTTGAATAATCTGCGATGAATTATCACTTGACACGTATCATCTGACTGATCGAAAATTGTCCGACGATTGTAAATGTAATGTGATTTGTGAACGAAACAAGAAAGCAAAAGCAATAATCGCAATCATATGTGAAGTTCAGTTTCTACGTATTTTATATCTTTACTCCTTTTTATTTTGATATAAAACTAAATTTGCTCATGTTGCTTTTGAATAATCCTTAAAAAATTTTGCATTTAAACGAGCGCACTTAAATGTGTATTTGGGTATGGAGGAGAGAAAGGATATTCTCAGTGCAAAAAGTGCAAGCTACACGAACAGACCTATACTGCCTTATCTTAAAAGGAGAGTAGATGAATGAATGTCTATTGCAATGCAGAGAATGTTGAAAGCTAACAATAAGAGAAAAAAGAAGCGATTGTTATGTCAATGCGATGCCAGACCGACGAAATTTACTTGGAAAGTCAAACGAGTTTGGGTTGTTCGTCACTTTCGCCTACTGGATTACTCTTTCCAATCGAATATGCAAAACGATTTTCACTAAACGTAAAAGCAGGACCATCTTACCTGCATTGATCTCGTCGCGAAACTCTTTATTTTCTATGAAATAAACGTTTAAGATTTGCGCGAAATGAAAATAATCTGTACGACAATTCTGTAATCATCCTCTTTCCTTACCTGATATATATGTCTCATATACGTTACATTACGGTGAATTACGGTAGTTTTAAGTATTTATCTCATATTGTGTAATTTAAGTGCACAGCAGAATGGAGAGAGAAAAAAAGAAAATTAGTGCAGAAAGAAAGCATTAGCCGTAATTGATTCACAAACTGACAACTCGTGTCACATAGAGACGCAGTGTCCGTATATATACAGGGTGTCCCATTAATAATTCCCATTTTAATATCCCTAGGCAAATATCTCGAAAAATATGGAAGATATAGAAAAATGTTTCAGACAAAAGTTGCATGGTTTAGAGAGGAACGTATTTCGGTCATGTCGTTTTTTCTACGTGGAGGCGCCAAAGAAATATGAAGGTCACCTCCACATTTTTAAGTGGAATATTATATAATTCTTTTACATAATAAGATTTCTTTAATTATTCTGCATATAAAAATATTAAGATAGCGATATCAAAAAACCAATAGTTTTTAGTACGTGATACATATAATAATCCGCTAATTAAATTTGCATATAAAGGCCTCAGTAAATTGAATAAGTTCATCAGTGTACAAAAAGACAAATTACCATTGTTAACACACTCAAATGTGGTTTACAAAATTAATTGTACTAATTGCGAGGCATCTTAAGAAAACATATAGTTGCTTATTTAAAAAATTATCCATTTTACTCACACATATTTTTTTAAAGCAATTATGTGTCTTCTTTATCAATTGATTCATCTTATTATTCTGTTCATAAAAGTATTAAGATACGATTATCAAAAAATTAATATAGTTTACGAGTTATTTAATATTTTATGTCAATATGTGCTGAAATAAAGTATAAAATATCTCGTAAACTATTGATTTTTTGATAGCTTAATACTTTATATGCAGAATAATTAAAGGAATCATATTGTGCAAAAAATTATAGAATTGCATTTAAAAAAGTGATGGTGACCTTCATATCTTTTTGATGCCCCCATCTAGAAGAAAGACAACGTGACCGAAATGTGGCCCCCTCTAAATCATGCAACTTTTGTCTGGAACATTTTCCTATATCTTCCATATTTTTTGAGATATTTGTTTGGGAAAATTAAAATGGGACACCCTGTATATCCCATAAAATATTGAATCATTAATTAATCTGAAAAAATCGAATTTAGTGTGCCACGTGCTTTAATATAAATACACGCGACATTTTTCATCGTGTGCACGCAAGTATGGTTTTTTATGCTGTGTCCGAGAATTACGGCCAATTACGAAAAGCCATTTTCTACGATATGCAGCAACGGTCATAGATACAATTATCTGATCTATGCAAATAGGTACGTAAGCTAACGCAAAAACACGATAAACTGTGATTCTCGCGCATCTGTAAACGAAACAGTAATCTTACCTGATATTAACTTTGCGAAATTCACTTTACGCATGAACGTATAACAAACATTGATCGTATATGTATTAGTCCATCATACTTGCTCGTAATGCAAGCGCGTAGATCGATAAACCGATTCAGAATATATTAAAGATCCATCCGACCCGTTTTCACTTTCACCTCACGCGTACGAAGAACTGATCTGGAGCACCGTGATCATGAAAAATCGGTGGCAAGAAAGACATGCGAAAACGGGGAACGATCACGACTCAGAACGGCGCGACGATGGTATGATACCATCGCGTTGGCGAACAGCAACTGAAGAAGGAGGAGAAGTCTTTGAAATCAGCTGTACACACATACGAGAAGAAACGGGAATAAAGCGAGAAGTGTCTCTCGATCGTATGAGTAAAAGCGTGCTGGGTATGGGCGATTACTTTTACGCTAGGCGTATACAGGATGTAACTGGAATAACGCCCACTAACCATATAGTGCTATTCCTAATAAAAAAAAACTGAGACGAAAAGTTCTGTACCATTTTGCAATTTTCGCAATATTTTTTTAGTTACCCAATGAGCAAAATGTTTAAAATCGACGTATAAGACAGCTTTAAGATATCTTTAAGAGTTCTTTAAGAAAAATCTTCAAAATATTTCACAAAGAACACGGAAAGATATCTCAAAATTGTCTTATATATTGATTTTAACCGTTTATTCGGCAATATTTAGAAATTAATATCTTGTTAACTATTGCAAAAATTGCAAAATGGTAGAGGACTTTCCGACATAGTTTTTTTTATTAGGAATAGCACTGTATAATTAGTGGGCGTTATTTCAGTTACACCCTGTATATCTCTTCTCGAGATTGTTCCCTGCAGTGTGCCCTCTCTACCTTCAATTTTACCTTCGATTTCTATTATCGTTCGTATTGAGAAGTTTTTTCTTTAGTGCATTTCCCTCATTCTTCATCAACGACGAATGAGTTCTTGTATCTTGCGTTCTTCGCGTTCTCAATTTTTATAGATTAAAATTCCTAAGTAGGACACAGTCATAATATCATAAGAACATTATCATGTCCTTATTTGTCTCTTACAAGTTCATTTTTAAATGACAAGTGACATCACGGTGACATCTTATGGTATCATTTAAGACTTAATTACTGCATATAAATAAAACGGTGTTCTATTTGGGTTATTTCCGGTAAAAATCGAGCATTACGAATGTCCGAACGCTTGATAACGTCTTTCGGTTATTGAGGAACGAATAACGTCGGTTGAAGAAACGAAAAAAATCGGTTTAATTTTGATTTTAACAATTACGCGATTATACTTGCAAATTGCTATTTGCACTCGGTCTTTCATTAATATCGATATCATCGAAAAGTCGACATCTGTTAAATCTAATAATTTCTTTTCTATATATAGAAAACCTTTTTTATACAACAGAGTTTGGTTGAAAGTATCTTACAGACAGTTATGGGTAAGATACTCTTAAAATTTATCTAAATACAGATACAGTTACATGTACGAAAATTTATCTAAATACAGATATTAAAGTGTATATAGGTACAGATATCAGATACTTTAAAAGTATCTTCAGATACATTTCAGATACTCTTAAATTAATTTTATTGTAATAATGATAATATGTAAAAATGTATTAGTTATTAAATAAATCATATATTTATTTTTGTTACATTTAGATAATTGAAAAAACTTATAATTGTCGTAAAACGATTTAGAATAAGAATTATAAGACGATATTATTCATCATTATTCATCATAGTTTTACAAACTAAAAATGCTTCAAACATTGTGTTTCCAGCTTAACTATACATGCGTTAGAAATTCCGCAATCTAAGATCACTGGTTGCGTTCAGCAGAAGAAGCAGCTGTGTAACTGTAAAATTCTTTAATATGACTGATTTGCATTTAGATTCAGTGCTAGGAACTAAGGGAAAGACCAATCATGTTATAGAATTTTGCAACAGCAAAGCTGCTTTTTTTCTGCGGAATGGAATCAATCGGCAATCATATATAAAATAAAATTATGACTATGCTGAGGAAATGTATCTGAAAAATGGATCTGAAATATAGTTTTAAAAGAGCTTTTTTTAAATTGCTGAAAAAAAACTGGAAAAATT